CGGACGGCCGGACTTGTGTCTCCGGCCTCGCGGCTATAAATACCCGCGATGGCAACAGTGTGGGGGGCTTTTGGACGATCGACAGGTTGTTATCAGAGCATCCCGACCGCAGTCAGTCGGTACTCGGAACAGCCATTTAGATTGTACTTAGGACCTTCACCTTGATCAATAAAAGACATTTATTTGCTTTAATTGGTCTAATCTTAGTTTATTTACCGCTTACGTGAAAATTAACACTATCAGATAGTATAATGAGACATGTGAAAAAATGAAGACCGATGTAACTTTCATTTTAAAAATGTTGCGGTTTCTTATTAATTTATTTACAGTTATGCTATTGCACTTTACTGTTTACTAATTCATGCTCTATTACTGTTTACTAATCACTGTTGAAGCAAGAGTTGAGGGGATGTTTGGATGGATGGGAAAGACTTTCCATGAAAAATATTTTCTTAAAGTGAAAGAAAATATTGTTTTTTGGTGTTTGATTCATAGAATTCATTTTCTATTGGCAGGAAAACAAAATTCTTGGTTGGACCAAGAATTTTAATCAAGGATTTTGTTTTCCATGGGGATGAGAAGAAAAAATGATATGGTGCGACAATTTTTCCATTATTTTCCTTGTAGAACTAGTTAATAACATTAACTGTTGTAGACAAGTGTTTGGTAAGTAGCTGTTTGGTATAATTTCTTTTAAAAAAAAGCTAATTGGAAAAGTTAGAGTAGTTTTTTGAATTTTAGCATTTTAAAGTTGCAAAAAGCTAATTAACCAAACACTTATATTGATAACTTAAGTAAATCAAACAATTAATAGTGATCAAATAAATCAAAATTAACCTACATATCAACAAACAGGGCCATAGATCTTTGTACTCATTTTTCAGACCCAAACAGGGTGTTTGGTTGGAGGGATTTTAAATTCCATTCCCACTTAATTTCCACCAAATTCCAAAGGCCATTAAATTCCGTAGTTTGGTTGGAGGGAATTGCAATTCCCCCATTTTTATGGAATTAAAATCCAATGTCCCCCCCTGGAATTTTAATTCCTGGAAAAAAAAAAAAGATAGTGATGACTCAAAATTACCCCTCATTTTTTAACTTAAAATTAATGTCTAACAACAATAATGGACATTTTTGACTTTACACTACTTATTCCCTTTCTACCAAACATTGGAATTGAAATTTCCAATAATTCTATTCCTATCAACCAACCGAATTTAAATTCCCACTTTATTCCCAGTAATTCAACATTCTATTCCTATCAACCAAACACTGAAATTTAAATTCCCACTTTATTCCCAATAATTCAACTGCCATAAAATTTCAATTCCTTTCCCACATAATTTCTCCCTCCAACCAAACGCCCTATAGGTAAAATTTAACCACCACCAATTTAAAAATAAAGACAAAATTTTGAATAAATAAGTTTAAACTAGAATTGTAGAACTTCCAAGTAAGGAAGCCCCTTCCAAAAATTCTCTAAGGCTTAGGGTGAACCTAAGCCATAGAGGGGGTTTGGAAATAGTTTTCAACCAGCAATAGACGCGCCTCGGTTAGAACCTCACTAGCTGCGTCATTGCCCCAAGCGCAAAGATGATTTTTGCTCCCTCCTGGCCTCTCCTTTTATGCTACACTCATTGCCTTCCCACGCCTAAACGCAGCCGATGTGGTACACAAAAACACTAAAACTTGCTTGTTCTTTCATCCGCATCCATGCCCCTTTAATTTCACTCTGAAACTCGCTCTTAGCTTCCTTGAAATCATATGATTGGTTACAACCTACCCGCTGTAATTCTACATCCATGCATCATCCTCGCATCGCAAAATGATTATCTATACTCTCAGATCGAGATATTTTCTGTATCTACTCCAAACCCTGCTTTTGTGTATCAGCACCCCAGAGATTGCCAAGAGCAAAAGCGAAAGCTAATTAATTAATACTGAAAACTTAAATATAATTCAACCTGACCTGAGGAATTACATCTTTAATTAATTTGTAGCTGGAATGCACGTTATGTTTTAGCTAATTTGTATGCACAGTACATTCATGGTGATCGATGCTTTAACTAATTTGTTTTCTATCATCAGTTCTTCAATTCCGATCCTGTATCTACAGACTTAACTAATTTGTTTGCTAGGGTTTTATATGGAGTATATCACATATGGGAGAATACTACTAAGAAGAATCTGATTAGGAGGAATCTGGGATAGAAGTCATGATCTTTTGCACTTCTTTGACTGTGTTTTCAGACTATTTCTTCTGCATTCTAGAACCATTGCTTTGATTTCTTTATGGGTTTTAATTCCCCCCTTGATTTGTATTGGTTTTTCAGTGCTATACTGCTTTTTCTCTTTTAGTTGGCTGCAATACTGTGCTCTAGAAGGAAATTCAGGGGACAAAGCATTTATGTCATTTAATTGCAATCAATTTATTTACTTCCCTTTTTTATTTTATTTGTTTTTATTTATCTTCTTCTGGGCTGTTTAGTCTGAAGATGAAAGGGAGATGTGTGCAAGAACTATATATTGTACAAATTAAACATTGATAAGAAGGTAAGTAAGGATTTAAAAATATTTAGTTTTGATGAGTTTGCTTAACATCTGCTAAAAAATAGTCAAAGATTAAAGGTTGTATATTATATTCTTTCAAATTCAGGTTACTCAAGCAGATGTCAAACTCTTTTTTGAAACTATTTGTGGACAGGTATGTAGCTCTTTTGGTATAAAATATTACAAAGTTTTGCTCCTTGAATTGCATATTCCATTTCTGAATTGAAACTCATCCCAAACGTAGGTCCACTGTTTGCGGTTACTTGGTGATTAACATACACCATTCAACACGCATAGCAATTGTTGAATTTGTATGGAAACCACCATAGGCTTCTTCTTACTTTTGTCTCCTTTTTGCTAATCGGAAAATACTACGTGTACTTCCATTTCTTACTCTCAACTTGTACTCATTCTCACAAATTTTTGATATAGATCGACACATTTTCTGGGACCCACATGATGAAAATATCCAATTTTTATTGGCCATGTCATGGAGTACAAGTAAGGAGTAGAATTTGGAAGTAGATGTATAGAAGTATAGAACTCTTTGCTAACCACACTGACCTATCATGATTTGAACTGATAAATTTGTAGTTTTACACATTTTATATCTCTCATGTTTATTATTTGAGCATTGAAATTTTATGATGTACCATTCTTCCTTTCTTTTTCTTTATGCATTTCTACTTCACTATTGTATTTGCTATTTAGGAAGATCTCCGTGTATGTGAATAAACTGATACTGTATTTAGCTCTGAAAAATTTGATAATCTTACATTTATATACATCATTATATCGAAAGATACCTTGAAAAATTCTGCCTCGGCTAAATTGTTTTGCCTCTATCTTGTGCAAGACTAACGTCTTTTGTTGGCTTAGTGAAGTTATTCTAGAAGTTTATGGTCCGTTTGGAAAGCAATAGATGACTTATGAAAAATATTTTTTGAAAAATGTTTTCTGAAAAATGAGTTATTTTCTAGAAAATATTTTTATTTCGGTTGTTTGGTTGCATTATGGAAAACTGTGTTATGTTTCATTTTCCAGAAAATGAACATAATTGTATAATTAAATATTTTTTTTGAAAAGTATAATTAAACATTTTAATTATTTTATTTAGAATATAAGAATAACAATAATTATAATTATAATAAATAATAAAATAATAATTTTAAATATAATTAAAAAATAATTAAGCAAAAACAGTATTATTTCAATAACCAAAAATAGTATTGGATTAATTATATAAAGAGTTAATTCGAGCAAAGGTCCTCCGACTATAATGATTTTTCAGATTTAGTCCTTGTCTTTTAATTTGGACAAATTTAACACTTGACTATCAAAATTTTTTCATCATTAGTCCTTTCGTCATCTGAGCGTTATTTAAATGTTAATTTTAGGGGTAAAGTTGTTATTTCATTATTTGGATTGTCTTCTTCCTCACCATACAAGCCAGAACAACATGATAGCATGCAGTCGATGACGTTGCTCCTCAAACTCCTATTGACGACGCGACTTGTGTTGAGTATTTTGTGCTATAACAATGCCAATGCGAAGTTTGAACAGGCCGGAAAGAGGTGTATGACAACGAAACACGAATAGGAATTCAAGATAGACAGGAAATGGAACTTTGTACCGTGTTTCTAAAACACTACCTTAAAAGCATAAATTTTCCAGTGACGGTTCCAGCATGCTTTCGACAGGCTACACAGATTAATAATGTAGTGTTATGCTCAGACCCATAAGGAGGAAGCTATGAACAAAGAAGGAGAAGCCCTGTTGTGTTTCTTTTCTGCTCGAACTGGAAGTAGGATTTTATAGTACAAAGTTTCAACAACCTTCTCCCTTCAGACCACACAAATAGTCCTATTTTAATGGCAGGTAATGGATCTGAATAAAAGCCACGTCTTATATAGTCCTATTTTAATGGCCTGTAATGGATCCTGAATAAAAGCCACGTCTTGGTGAACAAGAGAGGAATTATTCAGGCAGCTCCAAAACATTAGGAGAAGAAATAAATTAAGTGAAAAATCCTTCTTTATTGAATGGTTGTTCCAACAACTTGGAGTCGCGGGTGGCGGACGGTGGGTGGCAGCAAGGCGAGGCAGCAATGGCGTAGCTGGTTTTCCGGCGGAATTGGCGTCTGATTTGAGAATGGTTCAGAACTGATGGAAAATTATAATTTGAGAATGCAAGGGTATCCTCCAATTTGATAGGAAAATATATTGAGTGAATGATATGATTCAAAAGGTAGACTGTTTAACCAAGTTGAGGTACTGGCATTTCAATTCAAGAAATCAACAAGGCAGGAAACTGTAACATATAAACCACTATTTGAACTCCATCAGTTATTGACATAATGCATAATGAATCTTGCCAGGGAAAAAACCACAGGCATACTAATTTTTGTTTTCTTGAAATTCTTCATTGATAAGATAGCTTCACCTTAGCGGTCAGTCTCTCACACCAATTTGCATGATCAACATAATAACCTCAGACATAAACATGAATCTCTTAAAATGGATATAACCATCAACATTTAATTTAATTTTTAGAGACGATTTAAAAATTAAAAATAATAATTAAAAAAAAAAAAAAACAGAAGAAAATGCACTAAATTTTCAAACAAAATGCCAAGCTCCTAATTAGCAGATAGACTCACCAGCATGCTAATACTATTTTCAAAGCGAATTCCTAGTTCCTTCATCAAAACAAGAATTGTTCCTGCAACGTATGCAGCCCATCTAAACAGGAATCAAATTAGTACAACATAAACATCCAATCAACAAGTCAGTACAAAAGAGATTACAGAAGAGTTAAAAACCTTTGAGATGGATCTCGGGAAAAGTATTCCCTTGCCTTCTCATACGACATTGGTTCTTCCCTGTCCAAAAAATCTGATAAATCCATGTCAAAGGTGGGACCATGGTTGCTTAGTTCTGATCCATATGATACCTAATAAGGACAAATGTTAACAGAACAAGGCATCTATTAGAGGTTAACAACCAAAAGACATGCCAAGCTATAACACACTTCATACAATGTTTTTAATGGATGGAATTTAAGCTGCACACCAAGTCTGTAGAACTTTCTAAAAGAATACACTTCTTAATCCTAATAATATTAGAAATAAAAGCTTGTTACGGTAGGGTGTGATGGCATTTCAAAGTCAATCACACAATTCAGAATATAACCATCAACAAAATAATATATTAATGCATACTACATATATTTCAAGCAGGTGCATTCTCTTTCATTTAACTTGACTTGCAAAAACTAAGAGGTCTTAGGTTCAGTCCCCCATTCCCTTCAGATGTACCCAAATAAAATTACATACAATTTGCAGGACTGGGGTCGGTCCCTGTCCTTTGGCCTGTTGTCGAGCCTGAGCATGCTTCCACAATTTCTGATTACTTGGATGAATTGTTTGTACAGCAACGTGGCAGGCCTCTTTGATTGGCATCTGTAAGTGTGAAGGAATCCGATAAAAAAGACAGTGACACTACTAAGATTAACAATAAACTTACAGTTACTGAATACTAGTTAACTATCATGGTGAATATGAAGCAAGCAGGGAGGGCTGCAGTAGTATACTAGACATGAGGAGAGATTTATTCTTTGTTTCAAGCCAACTTAGTAGATCATGCTTAAGACCTTAACAGCTTACCCAAATAGCCTTGGCTCTCTTCTGGGCCGGTTTTTAGATTTTTGTGGTCCTGTTTGGGTAAAAAAATGAGACCCTACCAAAATCAAAATCTTTAAAATTAATATCGTAATTTTTTCTAATCTATACTATTCTAATTGGATATCAACCAAGGAAAAGCATATTCGGGGATACTGTTTCTCTCTAATGTAGAAACGGTCCCCCATGTCCGTTTCTGCTCTACAAAAAATTTCAGTAGTGTTCTGCATTGATACTTATTCACACGTATTTGAATGAATATTTAGCAAATTTTGAAAGGATTAAAGAAATAATAACAATTTTATTATCTAAATACATAATAAAAAATTTTATCCGTACATCGCACGTGCATTGCACGCGCACTGCACGGATAATTGGGCAATTATTTGCTCGAATTCAAGCAAGGATAACATAAAAAAAAAAACATAATCGATACAACCCATTTCATCAATTGCACTATATAATATTCGTTGTTATAATTTATATTTGTATATTCATTAAAATATTCTTAAATGTTGTAAGCGAGATGTCAGTTGGCCATTAGCTCCTAACCGATGAATCATTTGCAGGATAGAAGATGAGAGAAAAAGTGAAAAGTACTAGACAAAGATGTAGGGAGAATCATATTTTATTCACTAGGCACTCTTTCTACTACAAGAGTATATATATTTACAAGATAATAAAGAATGACATAATGGTAATAATTACAAGCTTCTGTTACAAACGTTACAATATAATGTCCATAATTACAATATTTATAACACTCCCCCTTGGACATTATTTATCCATGATCTTGCCTCGTTAAAAACTTCACTGGGAAAACCACGTGGGAAAAACCTAGTTGAAGAAAAGAGTACATCATATTTGTAAATTCATATATCATACTGATTGCCTCGTTAAAAACCTTAACTTAAGAAAACCTCGTGGGAAAAACATAGTTAAGGGAAAAAGAGTACAACCATAAGCCTTCAAGGCATAATCTTCCGGATTTTGGGGTTTGTCTCTTTAAGTATTTATATACAGCTCCCCCCTTTAATATATCATACTCATACCTCGTTAAAAACCACACTAGAAAACCCATTGGGAAAAACCTAGTGAGGAAAAGAGTACATGGTATGTATATGCTGCAAAAAGTATAACTATTAGTCTTTTTAAGACCCAATCTACATGATTGACTCGAGTGAATGTACTTTTCGTCTCCCCCTGAAAATAACAATCTTCAAGTTCTAAATAGCTTAAAGTAAAGTCATTTTTCCAGTAGAGTGTAGAGAGGGGATATAGTACAATCTTCATGATTGTCATTAGAATTTATCATATTCTCTCATGATCATCTGGACCAATGAAAATATTTATAGTTTATATTTTGTTGGTCCCCCTAAATATAATAACTTTTCTTTACCTACACTTATCAACCTTATGGATATTTTGTAGGTATACATTTGCTAACTTGTCACTGGAGCAAACCTTCTGAACAAATATTTTATTACTCTTCTGGAGTTCATGTGGATCAAGGTATTTTATATCATGAAAAAACTATATACGTTTTTATCTGTAACCTATATGATGGCTTCATGCCGAAAAGCATCAATATGAGTATTTGTACCTTGGTTTGCTATTCGTTATCTCATCTCATAACTTAACATCATTAAGCTCTTTATATATTTCATTGATGTTTACACCATAAATACTGACTGAGATAATAAATAAGTCCATTATCAACTCTTTATTGAGCACATAATGGTACATATTATTCCTTCTATATGAGGATAATAACCCCATTCGCAACTCTTTAAAGAGTAAATAATGGCACCTAATAATACTTAAATAAATTCTCATTTCGGGAATTATAAATCCATTAGGTTTTTTCAAGATAAATTTAACTGCATATCTAAATTTATTATTCTGCCAATTGTATTATGTAGCGGAACTTAATGCCATTTAACGTGGGAGAGTATATTTGAAAAGGGTCTCTGCGTGAACCCATAAGCTACAAACTCGCTTCATAATATATCCATTTTAGCGAGTCGAGCTATGCCTTCAATTGCTCTCTTTATACGTTAATCAATCTAGGCGCTTCTGGCACCTAGCTCTTGATCCAGATTGTCATATAATATGAGCAATTTTGAAGGCAATTGTGTTGTCGACAACTTAAAACATTTTTCAATAATTTTTCCCATATATAAAAGTAATTTTCAAAGTTAACCAGATTATAGCCATTTCCCGGATATTTATATCTGGTTGTTCCGCAACCCAGTATTATGAATATTTGGTGCACCTATAATTTTATTGGGTTTTTCTCGTTGTCTTGGACGATCGTCTTAAAGATATAACTTTTTAATATTTCAAGAGCTCTAAGGGTTTTCAAGAGTGACAAAAAAAACTTTACTAGATCTAGTTGTTTGTTGATTCTTTATTTTTCTATCCCAATGAATCTCCCGCACTTCTGGCGTCAAGGAGTATCGATAGATATATATGGTCCAATTTTGGGAAATGTGTATGGGACCTAGTCACTCTTTTTATGAAATAGATTTATTTGGCAGATTTCTTTCTGAACTTCAAGTTCAATCTAATTGATACGTGGATTTAATTTTTGAAGATCATTTCATTTCACGAAATTTCTCGGCATTCTATTTCAATTTTGATCATATCTCCCCCTAATGCCGTGAACCGATCTTCACGCAGTCAGCGTCATTAAGATGGACTGCATTCATACGAATAGAAACGCAGATTTGGGAAATGTTTGTTTGAAAACCACGTATTAGATGTAAGGGGGAATAAGGATATGCAGTGTGCCGAAATATTTTGCATAAATATTGCATTTCCCCACCAAGTATCCGGCACATTGATTTTTTTTTTTTTAAATAATGGTTTAGCTATAAGTCATAACTTTATTAATTAGCTAAGCCATTTAGGTATGAGCATAAGGTACTTGGTGCTCCGCCGCCTTAATGCTTAATGTCATATAATAATCGTCGAAAAAAGGACGAAGTTCATAGGATAACTTGAAAATTAGGCATTATCCATAAGATACTATATCATATTCGTCTTTTTAGGTGTGGCACGTACTTGATCAATACCCTATACACCCACACTTGAAGCATACTTGATGTTGGGCCAGAGTTCTAATTGTATGAAAGTGGTTGTCCTCAACGAGTTTTGATCATTTTGTTGTGTATTATGGTTTCGGGAGTTATTGTTGCCACCTTTGCCTTGATTCCTATGGCGATCTCTTCTTTGGCCCCTCCTGGCGTTGCATGACTGAGCAACATTGTGTGCTTCGGGCACTGGTGCAAAGTTAGATTGGGACACAATTTTGTGAAAAGCTAAATTATAATCAGTCACTGACTTTAAAATCTTAATCAGTCACTGACTTTAAAATCTTGAAATCTCAAGTTAAGTCAGTCAAATTGTGTCTAAGGAAGGGCTAGGAATATTTGCTAGTTAAAACTATCCTCCAGGGATTTCTATAAGGCATATGGGTCCCTTTTCAAAAAGGTATTCATTTTTCAGGTCATGGTTCAGATGGTGGCGAGGAAAAATTAGGTCTTTTAGCTTTCAAAGCCTCATCGCTCGTGGACTCCTAAGTAATTTCTCCCGTTGAAACCAAGCTCGGTGAATTCACACTTGATGATAGCAGCCAAAATCGAGATTTTTCAAAAAAAAATTATATATACTAAAGTTGGCTAAAAACGAAGGTCCACCTCTAAAGAATAATTCGCATAATAATAAAACTTTATATTATGCTAATAAGACAGAATATGCATATGAAGTCATCATATTATCCAAAAATAAATTGCACAAAATAGCAATTTAAAGTCTGAGCATATTCAATAATAATTGAATGGCAATTTGAAAGCAATATAGTTCTCAATGCTTTTTAAAGAAATCAAATTGCTAGCCCAAATCTATGTATACATATAAATTAGGCCCAAATAAAACATGTATATGTTATATGTATATCATAAAGGGTTAAATCATCATAGGCCCAAAATATAATAATATTATAAAAAGGGACCCAAAACTAACCCAAAACACATATTATAATTATTATATAAATATAAATTTATTTAACATTTTTTTTTTAAAAATGAACTGGGCCGAAGAGGTCCAAAAGCTTTGTTTGGTTAAAGAAAATCCAAAAGCTAGGGTCCAATTATGTAAAAAAAAGAACCCTCTTTTCAAAACAAAAGGCAACCAGAAGCGCAGCAGTCAGTAGACCAAGATCGAAGGTGCTGCGTAAGAAAAAAAATGAGACCAGAGGGCGAGAGAACGGCGACAATGAGACCGGGTGTCGCACATCCGGGCGTCACACATCCACGTGGGTCTTCCAGACCAGAGGGATTTCCCTTTGAGATATTTGATTTGTTATTTCTGCCATTGAAGCTTTTGGTGGAGATCGATGAGCCTTTTTTTTTTCGATGGAGCTGTCAAGGACCTTGGCCTGCACCGCCGCCAAGATGCACGGCTAGGTAAACAAAAAAAAGGAAGCGATTGCGAATGTTGGGGACGCAGAGCCAGAGACACCGTCGCCCTCTGCCGGAGGGTCGCGTCGCCAGATCGCCGATCGCACAGAACCGCTGTCGTCGGAAGACAGATCGGTATGAAACCAATCTTTATTTAAGATTTGGTTTGGGTTTTTTCTTGATCCTGAGCTGGGTGAATTAATCACTCGGAAATCATGTATATATTCGTGCGAAAAAATATATACCCAGAATGTGTATACAAAAACTTCAGAAAATGCACGTGTATAATCATATGGCATGATTTTGATTTGATTTATAATTTTTCGAAAAACATACATGCTGAGAAAAAATTTGTTAGAAGGTGTCGAAAAAAATTCCGAGTTAGTAAAAATTTCGAAAAATTTGCTTTGAAAAACATTTGTCTTGTTTTTCGTTTTTTTTTTTTGACAGTTCAAGGCAGAAATTATCAATT